TGTAACACAATAGTTGCGTGTTTCACATGTTATCGCAGTTCGTAGAATTTATGACGAGTTTAACATTACATTTATCGAAAGTTATTCCCTGAAATACAGAACTGACATGATCAGCATCTTCCCCTTTGTTTACATCATGTGAAATTTCAACATCAGACGTAGTAGTACACTTCTTACTTTCTGTTCCTAAAATTGAGGAAACCTTGACCATTTGTTCTCTGTGAGCTTTCTCATACTGAAAAAGGGCGTTTGAACGATGACCCGTGCGTTCACGAATTAGTTTTTCATCAACCCCAGCATTAAAGAGCGATGTGGCACATGTTACTCTAAGACAATGGGCGGTTTTCTTTCTAATTCCTGCAACTGAACACATGTTTGGCAAAATTTGATTTAAAGTATTAATTCCAACTGGAACATTATCAAACCCTAAACGATTCTTCTTGGGCCTAAAGTAAAATGCTTTGTCCATTTTAGAAGGAAAATAACAAAAACCCAAATACAGTCGATAAACTTCAACCAAACAACGAGCATGAGTTTGACCCCTTTCATGACAAATATGCGTCACAGCACGAGAAACGTACTTAAGATCACAAATACCGCCATGGAAACTTTTTGAGCTGTTTTCTTCAAATCTAAGACAATCATCGCTCACCCTTATATTTCTTACAGTAATATTCCTATGTTCCCCTCCACGTAAACCAAACAGCTTCCCATTATAGAAATATACTGTAGTTAATAACGAATTAGAAGAACCAGTTCCCATTAAGCCTTTGCTCCAGAACAAATCTTCTTCTTCGTCTGTGATGGCTTCTTTCGTGCTCTCATCTGTTTCTCGGTGTTTGGAACCCCTGATGAAACACTCGCACTTGTTCTTGATATATTACTTCCGACTATTGGTAAGAGATCACTTGATGGGAAATCTTCTGAAAGAAAATCTAGTAACGTGACATCTTTTAGATAAAATGAAAGTTATATGATTTTGCCTTAAGAAAACAATTAGTGGGTCATAGCTTCAACAAAATAAAAGTGATTAGGTTTTTCAACCCGCACCATTTCCTTAATGAGTAAGTTTGTGGCTGGTCACATGACTAGAATTATGTGCTCTGTCAATTTTGGCATCGGCAAGATTCCAACTCATTGTTCAAAGGAAGCATTAGTCTTGTTACCTCTTAGTGTAAGTGGCCTATTCTTATTGAAAAGTCCATCTCCAGACTTTTGCACTGAAACATTGACATTGTTGCTGTTCATGTTCATAAAGGGAAGTACCTTCATCCCCATGTTATTTCTTAATATAGTGTTTTGCATGAAACAAACGTTTTTTTGCAATTGGCCAAAACGGATTAGCTTGGAACACTTAGAATGCAATTTATAATACATGTATTAAACATTGTCCTTCCTTTTTCCATACTGTCTCTTGTGTTTGTATTAAGCATCAGTCATCAATAATTAATGTGGAACATGCAAGTGTAACATTTTTTTCTATTATTTGTTCTCTGCGAAATTAGTTTATAGCTCTTTTCATCCTTTCATTTGGTTTATTTGCACAATTAATTTTTATTCCTTTCTGTCAGTTTTCACAGGAAAAAATTCCAGAAAATCATCAATGGTAAAGAAAATGGTAATCTGTAAATTCCCACGAGGAATAACCATTAATGAAAAAGCTGGACATCTCCCATTAATGTTTTTATTAATAATTTACATTAATGTAAGAGGCACAAACCATTGATGGTTAGTGAATAATAACCAGAAATAGTTATTTTCATTTAAACATCAAGTGAAATGTCCATTAAACATTAATGGCTATGAAAGAAACATTAATGGTGGCAATCAAGAAACATTAATGTTTTTTTTGCTGTTTAACATTTTTTCAATTTTAAATAACTACTCCTGGGAATTGAACAATTTCCATTAAAATCATTAATGCCTTTTAGATACTGAAGACATACATTGATGTGTATTAGAAATATTCCATAGATGGTTATAACAAAATTATCATCAATGCAATGGTATGTAGTTCAGGAAATCCCATTATTGGGAATTTAATATAAAAACATATATGTTTATTAGAAATATTCCATAGATGGCTATAACAAAATAATCATCAATGCAATGGTACATAGTTCGGGAAATCCCATTATTGGGAATTAAATATAATGGCTTTTTCCATTGATGGAGTTTTGATGTTTTCCATGGATGGGATGGATGCTGACATTACATTTTCTTCCAACAGGTGCTGTCTGCACTTTAGTTCCAGCTTCCCATTACCTCTTAACAGAGTGGCAATAAAGTTTCTGTTTGCCTCCACAGGATCACTTGTACTATTATTAAAAAATTAGATGTTCTTCAATTTTAATTTCCCAGTTGAATATAAAGATTTTATCCCCCACACACATTGCACTGTAAATTAGTGAGGATTGAAATGTGATGAGCTGTTCTGGCAGTTGAAGGGAAAAAAACAACAAATTAAAAAACACAAATGTCGTACTCACACAGTTTTCAGCAATAATGAGGAAAAGCTGACAGAAAAACTCGTTTTAATGGCTGCTGTAACAAAAGTACAATCTTTGGCCTTTCATGTTGCTTACAAATAATATAAATATAAAGTGTACAGTCAATTTGAACTTCTGCACCCAACAGTTCCACAAACTGCAGTAAAAGTTGCCCTTTGAAAACTTTTTCAAGTAGCACTGGTGAACTAAAATGATTTAATTTCTAAATGTTACTTTGTGAGACCTTTTTGGAGCATCCTTACACTTTGACTTTGTAACCAGCTTCACTGTTTTTTTTTTTTTTTTGCTTTGGTCTAAATGTTAAGATCTTTTGTTGACAACTGTAGCTGGGTTCTAGAAATTTCTTAAAAAAAATGTATGACCTTAAATGCCACACACACTATATAGCTAGCAACTTGGAACTCACTAAAATTAACCAATAAAAGTTCCTTCTTGACAGTTCCACAAACTCAACTAAAAGTTGCCTTTTGAAAACTTTTAAAGAAGCACTTAAGCTGGTTAGCTAAAATGGTTTAACTTTTTTAATGTCATCTCGTGAGACCTTCTTGGAGTGTCTATATGACACTTTGACAAATCCTTTCTTTTAAAAGTGCTTCAACAACCAACTTCACTAGACCTTTTCTCTCTTTCTTTTTGGATAGTGTGACTTTAAATCCAACAAACACACAAGCAACTTGGAACTCACTAAAATTTACCAATAAAAGTTCTTTTTTCTTCAGTTCCACAAACTCAACTAAAATTTGCCTTTTGAAAACTTTTTAAGAAGCACTAGCTGGTGAGCTAAAATGGTTTAATTTTTTTAATGTCATCTCGTGAGACCTTTTTGGAGTGTCCATTTCACACTTTGACAAATCCTTTCTCTACAAGTGCTTCAGCAACTATCTTCACTAGATCGTTCTTCTCTTTCTTTTTTGTTGTAATTTTAAGAGCTTTTGCTGAAGACTGCAGCTGGGTTCGTGAAATTTGAGATATTTGAATTGCATTAAAGGCCACGCACACAACCAACTTGGCAGTATCCTCATCAAGATCTACGAAAGATTACAAACTCCTCTGAAACAATTTCATTACATTTGGGGGGCAAATGTTTTTATGGGGGCATGCAGATATATTTTACAGTGTAATGCATACCCTCGTTTTCATCGGATTCTTCTACACTTTCTGTGTCTCCAGAGTTATTTGTCTCTTCAGAGTCTCCAATCTCTTCATGATCAGCACTTGATCCACTAGCTGAACTTGAGCCACCAATATCATTATCAGTACTAGTGCTGTCAGAACTTGTTCCTTGATCCACTTTCCTTTTAAGAGTCCGTTTATCCGGCTGCAATGTCAAAAAAATCATGTAAATGGTTGTACAGTAACATGAGCTGTTTTTTTTTCATCATAATTTGTTAACTTATATGGGTTTCATTTAGTAGCAGTATGTTCATTTAGATGTTCTTTGTTGTAAAGCAAACAAAATCTTTTCCGTAGGTTCGAGCTCCTTCCAAATTAAGGTCTGCATGCATGAATAAGAAATAATTGGTCAATATATAAAAATTAATGTTATTGACATTAAGCTCACCTGAGAATAGTCATGTCCTTTCCTTTTATGTCTCCTTCTTTCATTAAGAACGTCTAAGATATGTTGTTTGATACCCTCTTTGCCAAAGTTTAAAGGTGGAAACGAGCAATCCTCCTTGAGGTCATTAACAAGATCATTCAACTCGTCAACAGCGACCTTGTTCTTCTTAAAATTCGGGATGTCATTCCCAGGCCATCTATTAATTGCCGCAGTTCTGATAGCTTTTCTCCTAATAAGGAAACGGATTTAAAAAAATTGTGGAAATTTATATCCAATATTTAAGACAACCATTCATACATAGATTTATTAAATTGTGACGGTTTGAAATACAAATACTTCCTCCTTGTTCGAGAAACTACTGCTACATTATGCATTTAAATTTGTTTTTAAACACTTCGAGCAAATGTAATCGGTTGAAAAATTTCTGTAATGAAGTTAAAAAATACAGTAAAAAAGGACACATTCCTGACAGTTACTTACTTGGTCTTGTAAATTCTTCGTGCAGTTTCACTTATTTGCAGCAGCTGCGCTTTGGAGGGCTTTTTGGGTTTGATTGTCGTCACTTCAAAACCAGTGGACCCGCTCTCGGCAGAACTATTGACCACGGAGCTTAATTTTAGCTGGTCGGCAACTGTAAGAAGGCCGCAGGCTTCTTACTGTTCTTGGGATGCACGTTTAGAGAGAAGGACCAAGGTTTTTCCATCAACCTTTTGGGCTGTTTGCTTAAAATCAAAACGAGCAGTAAGAAAAATTGTTTAAGCTTAAATTGTATGAACACATCTGAAAAGTTTACACAATGTATTCGATGCAACAAGCTGCACAATTACGTGATGTCCACTTTCATAACTCTGGGAAACCTTACCAATTCATAAAGAACATCTCCATTTTCAACAAGAATTCTGCATATGATATATTATTTCCTGCTTTTCGAACATATTTGAAAATTGGAAAAGTGTCATAATCGATGGAAAATTATTAGAGAAGTTCATTGGGGACATTTTTAACGTACAATTATTTCGCGCCAAAACCAAACTAGTATCAACCTGTATCAACGCAATGCAAAATCAGTTCCCGAAATGACAAATTCTGTGTTCACTGTGAGAAATTGTTAAAAATCCTTCCAGCTTTATCACAGTAAGTTAAAATAGTATAACAGACAATAAATAAAGGGAATTTAGGCCATTTCAATTCACTGTAAAATACATGTGTAAGATTCAGTGACGAAATCTACCATTCGATTCTGACACTTGTTGAACGTACCTTCGAACTTTTCCGCTACTTCAGTATTGAAGTGCTTTTCTATTAAAATGAACACTTCACGAACATCCATTTCTTCCACTAGTTTTTCAGCGTTCATTATGTCACGATTTATTCGTAGAACTAAAGACCTAATAGCTTCCCAATTTGTATAACAGCCCTCGACATCAATCGACAGAAAGACAGAAGTAGTCTTCGCAGCGCGCCCTGCTAAACAATGTACAGTGGGGTGTTACGCGGGGGGGATTGACATACTGCGACATGATTGGCTGGACGTGGATATGCAGGGATGTGATTGGTGCAAGAAATCGTTGCGCGGGAAATTTGGCGCTTTGTGATTTTCGCTCGATTTTTTTGCACTCAAAATCATGGAAGCTGATAGTAATAAAAGACGACGAATTGATGATGAGGCTGTTGCTTGGACGAGAGATGATATCGTCTGCTGCAACTGTTCAGAGCTAAAATCCAGACATGTACATTGTCCTTGTTCCAAGTGTAATGGTGCTGCAGTTGCACGTTCAGTAGAGCATTCTCACTGGCAGCAACAACAACAAGAAATAGCTGATATTGTGGTGGACAGGTGAGAACAAGCTTATTACTGTAAATATTATTTGATTTGACGTTAAGCCATAATATATTGTGCTTTATGAAATAAAGTGTTCGTTCTCTTGCACCTATGTAACAATTATTTAGACTTTCAAATTCAGCTGTCAGATTAAATATTGTAATCAGCAACACTAGAAACACACCTTGCTAGATGAATTACAATATGAAGAAGTTTGCTTCAGCCCATGAACTCTAGATATATTTTTATTTTCAAACAGAGTGGAAGATCCTGGTGACACTAATAATGACTCTGGCATTGATGAGTGTATCTTACCACCGTCTGGTGATGATAACCTCACTCATGATCACTGTAGTGTTCTTTCTGAGAACCAAACTAGTGCACAAAATTTATGTAGCAGGCCATGCTCACCTGACTCAATGGCGTCAGACACTACTGATAACAACGAAATTGATCATGATGATATTGAAATTACAATTGCTATACTAAAGTCTTTGAATTTAGTGGATCAAATGAGTGGATCCATCTCAGATTTTGAAGACATTCTCCAATTTTCTAAGGAGTTGTTTTGTCGAAATGACAGAAAATTAGAGGAAAGATGGCCAAGAAATTGGCAAGAGACTCAATCAGTTCTCAAAAACTGTGGATACAAAGCCCCAAGAGAACTTTATGTTTGCCTGGACGAGAGCCACTATGCACAGTGGGATGTCATGGAAAAGGCAGACGAAACGTGCAGACATTGTGGTAAGGCAGGAAAAATTAAATATTATTACCTGGGTATCTCTGACAAAGTTGAACTGTGGTGTGCTAACCGTGATATGTGTAAGAAAATGATGGCCCACTGGAGAGAGAAAGATCACTGGATTGAAGGCGAAGGTGCAAACTTTACACTAAAAGAGATATGGGATGGTGAAAGATTTAATGAACTCAGTTGGTTCTGGAAACCAGATTCTGAATGGATGCTTCCTGTGAAATGTAAATTCTGTACCAACATAATTAGTGTCGATGAAATGAAGGAGTGTCCCCAAGAAGATGGAAGGTATGAAATCACATGTCCTGAATGTGGAACAAGGTGGGAGCAAACACCATCCTATGCCACAGGTGACCCCCGCAACATTGCTCTTATTGGGCACTGGGACGGATGGCAACCTTTCGGATACCCTGGAGCACATAGTTGTGGTAATTATAATTTCTATTTAACAATTTTTATGTTCTTCCTTTAGCGTTTTCCGGGGGGGGTACTCCTGAAAATTTTGGATAGGGGTGTACATGTGCTGCGAAAGTTCTTGAACCCGGCCTAACCCTATACCCTTTTACCACCGGCCAATACTTATAAAGAGTTGTTCCTATCAATTTCTGTCACATCTACAATTTATAAAACTTCTTGGTAAATGTGGCTACATCTTTGGGATACAAAATTAATTGATCCATTCATTTATACCTTTTAGTTAGAGCCCGCTTGATTGATTCTAAAATATCACTTTAACAGACATGAGTATTGAATGTTTCAATATGGTATTTGCAGGTGCAATAGAAGTGACCATTGCAAACATGGCTAAAGAAACGTGCGTTAAGAATAGTAAGCAATTCCACATACATTGCCCATACTGGCCCTATTTTAAAGGAACTTAAACTCTTAAAATTTCATGATATCCATTCGTTTCAATTAGGTACTTTTATGTTTTCATTCAAGAACTCTACACTCCCTTCCAAATTCAATAACTTTTTTTTACTGAATAGTCAAATCCACAATTATAATACTAGGAATGCTCAGTCCTTCCGTTTGCCACTGTGCAGAACGAACACCAGGAAGTTTTCAATTTACTTTCAAGGTCCAAACTTTTATAATTCGTTAAATTCTGACATAACTAGTTCTCCCTCCTCCGCTTCTTTTAAAAGAAAGCTTAAGGAATTTCTTCTCTCTAAGTATTAGCTTCTGTAAGGCAGTAATTCTTAACTAACTTAGTTAATATGTGTGTGCGTGTGTGTGTGTACGTGTGCGCGGTCAAAGTTAATTACCATAAGTCCATATTGTAATTCTAATATAAGATTAGTTATTTTAAGTGAGAAAGCCTGACTTGTTATAAGCCTCGTGGTTTCTTTCAGGTTTTCTCGCCATTTATTTTCTGTCATCAATTTTCTTCATTTTTTTTTTCCATGTGTAAATGTCGTATATGGCAAATAAATATTGTATTGTATATTGTATTGTATTGTATCTACCAGTATTCAGTACAGGTAGTCATTTATCATAATTATACATTTATTTAATGTACATGCACATGTACTGGAAACCATGCAGACCACTTCTATTCTAAACTTAATAATTTGTTTTAGTTTCAAAAAAACTAGAAAAAAATAGTCAAGACCAAATTTCATTTGAATAATTTAATTAATTAACCAAAACTTGCATGCGTGTGCAATAGCAACTTCTTTAAACATGCATTTTTTTTTTCAGGTCTTGAAGTTGACTATGTTGAGTCATTTCCTGGTCTTCCGGCAGGAAGGATCATCTTGCGCATCTTGATTCTGCTATGGACAGGTGACTATCCTGCACAACACGAAGTAGGGAAGTTCATCAAACATGGTATATTACCATGCCGTAGAGACAAACTAAAAGGTAAATTAGACACAATTTATTCATGTATGATTTACAGTGTAGCACTCTACTGAAATTATTCTAACATTAATCTGAATTAGTCTTTTCAGTAGTAATAATTAATGTAAAAGTAATGATATTGTTTAATTTTTGGCAAAAATTCTGATAGGTTAATAAAATATCATGTTTTTTTTATGTACACTTGTGTTTATTGTATTTTTGTAAAATAATGTTTCTAGAAAATGCTGTGCATATAATTGCATATTGCAAAATAATTAAATACCAGCTGGTGAGTAAGAATGAATTCAAAGCAAAATGGTTTATCATATTTCTGAAGAAAAGATTGGTAATATGCTGTCATTTCTTTATTCACATTGGTTTTTGGTCAGTTTCTTGTCTGAAATAAAAGTCCATTTTATTCAATAGGTACTATCAATCCAGAGGGTGGAAGCACATACTATTATGTTAATAATCGGTACCACGCCAGATTTGCATGGGAGGAGCGAAAGCTGGAAGAAGACTTGAAAACGATGAAAGATATAAATGAGGAAGACCGCAAAACTGTTTGGGCAGAAAAAAGCGGGAACAGTGGTTATACTGGATTAAGCGTCCTTTATCGACTGCACAAACTTTATGGATTTGACATTTTCAAGGATCTTGTGTATGACACTATGCATAACCTCCCTTCAAATGTCATAGCAGCACAACTCAAAAGCTTCATCACTATTGAGAAGATTGACAGTAAATTAGTTGACCAACGTCTACGCTTCTTTCCTTGGACTGCAGGTCTGTAATAAACAAGAATTTATTCTTTTGTCATAAACATCTTACGTTATTAATTTAACATTAATTGCATTAATACATATGCAAACTAATAAAACGCCTCCGGTTTTTAAGTGTCAGAAGTCCCAGTTTACTTCTCATCTTCTGGGTGCATGCGGTTCTGTTTGTTTTGAGTGTGGAGCGCATTGCTTGATTTTGAAGTCTTTCCAGACTGTCTGTCATACCCTTAGAGCATTCCATCCACACTGTGCATCCATAGTCAAGGATTGGTAGCACTGTTTGCTTATAAATCTTTAGCAGCACATCTCTGGTTAAGTAACCAGAGAGTCTGTTGATGAGTCTGTTTATGAAAAAATACCAGATGAAGTTACAAATTATATTACGTCTAGTAACTTAAAACACGGTGTGTCTAGCTACTCAGTAAATTTTTACTCAGCGTACACTACATATATTAATTTATACAACAGAACTGTACAATTGATTTTCTGATTATTATAACTGTAGAATTGAAAGATGGAAGAATTCCTAATGGTTATGGTTCTTGCCTGGCCTTTTGGAAGGCAGAAGAACTCCACAAATTTTCCTTTCCAGCCTCTGAAGTAATATTTGCTGACCTCTTAGAAGATATGGATTATCACATTTGGCAACTTACTGTCAGGATGACAGAACTTGTCTTCTGTAAACGGGATGGATGGGTGCTCGATGATGTTCATCTTTTCTCCAAGTAAGCTCAACGCTACTTAGTGCTTACTGAAGAGCATAGGGGTCTGACTTCATGTACAGTCACTGAGCACAACCTTCTTCAAATTCCTGACGACGTTATGCGGTTTTCACACCCTGACAACTACTGGTGTTTTCCATTTCAAAGGGCAGTGCAGAGGTATGTTACAACAAAGTCCAACTTTAAGAACATTGAATGCACCTATGCCAAAAAAGAAGCACGACGTGAATTGCTTCAACATCTCTTCTCTAGCATCAAGGACTAGCCCAAACAGTACAAGTTCTGCCTGGAAAAGGTATTTGAAAAGTTGTTAGTAGCCATAAAATGCCATCACTGCATTGTACATGTAAATTTTACACTGAAAGTCGCCATAATGTAATTACATTTCAGAATGTAATTGTGAACAAAAAGGAATTCCTGGGCTGCCTTAACTTTACATACAGTAATTACAGACTCAGTCATGAAGCCATTAGTTTGTTGTAGACATTACATTAAATGATATAATTGTAACTCCATTGTTATGCAGTCCACTAATACTTAAGGCATGTAAATGAATCCTAAAGAAAGGTTAGGACTACAAATAATATTGTTAAGCTAAGCCAAAAAAAAAAGATGATTTCCACGGTGATTTAAAAATTTGAAAAGTTAAAGTTAGCTTTTGTATGGAAGAAAAACTACACAAAACTTTAAACCCTCCGTTCTATTTCTTGTTCTCATGTCAGTGATAATTCATACAGTGATCTTTAGCCAAATTAACTTTAGTTCTTATAATTATGTTAAGCTACAATCTGACTGAGAAAAATATTAACTTTTTTTCTAGATGAGTGCCACCAGTTTGGAAGGAGCAAGACACTTAAGTGACATTGCCAAAACCTCACCTCGTCATGAGAACTACAGCAAAAAGGGAATTCTTGTTGGTGGGTCTGAGAGAAATGAAGTCCAGCTGTCAAAACAGGATGTGGATCTCATCAAATCAAAGTTTACTGGGTCAAGTACATCAAGTGGTGAAGTTCTTGTTCCGGAAATAGCTTTGGCTTACAGAAGTCTTCTTTTACCACAACAAGGTATTCAAGGTCAGGGCCTATTGTACAGGACAGGAGAACATGTTTTTCTTAACATGAACAATGTCCAATCAGTTGTTTTGGTAGAAAAATTTCTAGGTCTTGAGATTGAAGGAGAATACCACAAGTTTATTCAAGGCCAGTTACTTCCAACTAAACAAGATGATGATGGTAAACTTGTAACATTTGCAAGTACTGGCTTTCCCATTTTATGCCATGGGAGTCTTTCTCAGAAGATTATTGTACCGGCGCCAAGTATTTTGAGAAAGGCTATAGTTTTTCCTAATCCTTCTGAGCCTTTAGAATCAATTGTTGTCGATTTTATGAGGAAGAGCATGCCACTGTCTCCAAACGATGTGGTAGTACCATTGTACCCAAAGGAAGGAGAGATGGTTTTCATCAACGGAACTGATCCCCAGCCATGGTTTGGAAGGGTGTTAAGTGTTGATGCAAATCACCAAATTGCCAAAGTTCTGTACTACAACAAGGTTGGAGAGAGGGAAGATGTATATGGGTCTGTTATTGCTATGTATTCCCCAGAAAGAAATCCTCGTTTAGCCAGTGATAAAGTTTCCTGGAACACTTTACTTCATAATGCTGATGGAGACTGGAATGAGGACATATGGGAAATGGTGCCAGTTGATTATTAATGGACAAACACTTTAGAACACCCTGAGATGCTAAGCTGTTTTTATCATCGGTGATTCATTATTTTGATTACTGGTATGAAACATTATGATGATGTTTTATACAGATAAAACAATAAATCAGCCAACATCAAAACGCAAATGCAAGTCTCAATTATTTATGGTTTACTAAGACACAAGTCACAACAAACCACTGATAGTTGATATTGCATTTTATTTTATTTTATTAGCTGATCTGGTATCCCATTTATGACTAAAAGTAAAAAACACATAATTTGGAGTTTTTAACTTACATTATTGCTGTTAACAACTGATGCTGTAGATTGTATTCCGTTAATGAGAAATTAATTAAACACAAGTGTCTAATTAGATTCATAATTTGATGGGAAATGATTTAAATACACAGACCGTTTTGTTAATGACATTAAAAAAAATTGACGTTTAATTTTCAATCTTACATTAATGGTCTTTAACTGAAACTCCTCTAAAATTATAAAAAAAACAGTGATGGTTTTAGCCTTACACATTTATTTAATATAATTTATGCATGCAGCTTGGCTTACGTCATATATTCCATTTATGTAAAATAAATGGTTATTAGAGAACACAATTGATGGGAAATAAATAAACCAATAATGGTCCAGTGTCATATACATTCATGGTTTTATAAATTACATCAATGTTTTAAGTTCCTTGAAAGAAAACATTGATGTTTCCAATCTTACATTTATGGTTTTTAACTGAAGCTCTATCCCATTAATGGTTTAAATGATAAACCACTGATGGTTTTAGCCTTACACATTAATGGTTTAGGCTTATGTTATATTCCATTAATGTCAAATAGCATAACATGAATGGTTATTGGCGTACGCATTGATGGGAAATAAATATACCAATAATGGTCCTATGTTATACACATTCATGGTTTTTATAAATCACAATAATGTTTTAAGTTCCCTAAAATCCCATAAATGGATTTCAATGTAAAACCATCCATGATTTTTCCCAGTCTTAATGTTAATTGCTAGAAAAACACTTAAATTAAAAAAACACATTAATGTTATTTCAGTAGAAAAATTGGAAATCGCTCTTTTTCCCATTAATGTTTTTTCTAAAAATGGGAATTAGCAAAAAAACCTGGATGTTTTTTTGAAATTTTTTCCTGTGTTTTGCCCCCCTCGTTAGCGTTTCTTTGCTGTTTCATCATCGTTAGCACCTTTCTAAGTTTCTATAGTTTTATTTTCTGCATATTCTATGATAGTTTTGCAGTATAGTTTGGTCTCAGTTGATTTTTGTCCATGGTTAGTGCAGTTCTGACTAGTTTTTGCCAGTCTCTTCGTGTTATCCGCAATTCGCTTCACAGCAGTTTTCTCTGTCCGAAACAATGTAAGTCAGTGTACTTCACAGTCCTTGTTTTTGCAGGCTTTTTATTTCTTTATTCTGATTTTCCTTTGTCACAACTTGTAATTTTTGCTCTCTTCCTGTTTTAGTTTCACTTATTTCAAGTACCAAGCACGTCAGTTACAATAAATCTTGGTGTGTGGTCTGTTATTAAAGGCCATGAGACTATTACGCTTATTGCAGTTACAAATGGCTATAGCTATGGATTAATTTATAATCAGTACAATTCAAAACATGGACCTAAATGTCCTGCTTTCATTTAAAAATGATATTGTTTCACGGATCATTGACAGATTTCTTATGATAGCCTTACAACTTGTTTTGCTGCTTGATATCAAAATCAACAATACAACAACTACTGTACAGTGAACAAAACTAAAGTAAATGACCTCCAATTTCACTGTTACATGACCTAAATGCCAACCAGGACACAGCCAGGATTTGGACTATGACAGCCGTTATTACAACATGTAAATAGGTAATCACTCAAATATAGGTACAATATTAAAATGCTTATCAATAAGGATTTAGAAATGCAAAGACTAGCAAAAACTAACGATAAAAACCGACGTTTCGGTGTCATCATGACGCCATTGTCAAGGAGAAATAAAGAATGAAGTTTGTGGCAAAGTGTAACATTAAATTAGCATAAATATGTTACGAGCTAATTAAACAAATACTTTTGCGCGAATTGAATCGCTTTGCACGTTCAGAGTGGGTTTTAAGTCTCTGATGAAAAGCATTTCGTTCACCAAACAATCGAACTTGTTACTACACTTTTTCAGAATGCTAAAACGTTTCAGTAGGTCTTTCGGGACTTCGCTGTGCTGTTCGTGGTAGTGTTTATATATTGAAGATGCCTTTCGTTTATGTCCATCCACGCGTGTGTGTAAGTGTCCGCGTGTATAGCCCACATAACCCGCATCACACAGGTCACATTGAAATTGATAAACGACGCGTTGTTGGTTGACAATCTGTGGCTTGATTTCTCGTACTTTAAGATCTTGGCTTACTTTGCGGCTAACAAATACTGGCTGGACAGTTGTCTGCACCTTCATGCTAAGATTCTTGAGCTCTTTCTTAACATAATTTGCTGATTCTTGATCTTTGAAAGGTATGACCACACGAACAATGGATATTGGTTCTTTGGGCGTCTGTGTGGGCTGCGTACCAACAATTCTTGATTGTAAGAAGGTGTTAATGGTAGAATTTACCAGGCGCCCCGGGTATTTAAGCCGTGCGAAAACTTTCTTTAGGCGATCACACTCATCAGAGAAATGGGCCCAGGAGGAAGATAATCGGTGTGCGCGATCCAGCATAGTTTTCAGCAAGCTCCGTTTGTAGCGATTGTCTACATGGCTTTGGTAGTGTAATAGTAGGCCCGTGTTTGTTGGTTTCACATATACCTTGGTTTCAATCCGAGGTGCATGGTTGAGTAGTTCGGTGCCAAGGAAAGGAAGCTTGCTGTTCTTCTCCACCTCCATGGTGAATTTGACCGAAGTGTGGGCGCTGTTGAGGGTATGCAAGAAGGTAGTTGCTGTTGCTAGATCAGGCATTACAGTGAGTGTATCATCAACATATCGACGATAATAGGATGGAAGTTTTCTTTGTCGCTCAAGGGTATCTTCGATGGATGACATGAAGACGTTTGCTAATAAGGGCCCGAGAGGGGACCCCATAGCAACGCCATCTGTCTGTTCGTATAGAGCTCCGTTAAATTGAAATAGTTGGCCTTTGGTGGCTACGTTTAGGAGGTCAATAAGATCTGTTCTGGTAAGGGCAAGATTGTGAGTAGTATTGAACCAATTGTTCGAAAAGGCTCTGTTAACCAAGATCTCTATTGTTTCGTCCAAAGGCACGTTCGTGAATAACGAGGAGACATCATACGAAACCAAGAT